TTGAAACCTTACCTAGAAGATTTTAGAACTACAATTAATTTCTTGAATTTCTCTAATAAAAGAATTGCTATGTTCAAGAATTACTGTAATGCTAAGGGTGTTAGACCTAGAAAGTTTGGCTTGAATATAGATGTTACATGGAATGCTACTTATCTTATGCTGAAACACTTGGTTCCATATAGTGAAGTTTTTTTTTCTGTGTTCATTAATTCAAATTATGGATCTGCACTGTTGTCTCCAAATCACTGGTATGTTGCTGAGAAGATATTGGAGTTCCTGAAACTCTTTTATGACTGCACTATTGTTTTATCTGGTGTTTATTATCCCACCAGTCCACTTGTTCTGCACCATATTTTAGAGATTGCATCTCATTTGCATGCTGCTGAAAGAGATCAGAATCTTAGACAAATTGTGTATCCTATGAAGTTTAAATTCCTTAAATACTGGCAAAACATACCTCTGTTATACTCATATGCATTTATTCTTGATCCTAGAGCTAAGATGAGAGGTTTCCATAGGGTTCGCCAATTACTTGTTAAAAGCACTGGTACTTAGTACAATTCATACTATGCTGATGTGAAAACTGAATTATATAAATTGTTTAACAAATATTAGAGGAAGTTTGGTGTAGGTAGGTCTCAAAGGGTTACATAGCCATCAAACCATACAGGTAAGAGAAAATAGGCTTGGGAAAGAATCTTTGGAGGAGCAGGTGTTGTTGGTCCTTCCCCTGCCACCACTTCATCTTCTTCTACCTCTGCTGCTTCTGAACTCTCAGTCTATTTAGACAGTGACAATGTCACTTCTTATGAGGATGATTTTGACATATTTCTTTGGTGACGTGACTACAAACTAACCTATCCAATCCTATCTATAATGGCCAAAGATATTATGTCAGTTCCTGTGTCTACTTGTTCTTCATAATCTTGTTTCAGCTTGTCAGGAAGGATCATTGAAGAACGGCGCCGACGCTTGTTAACTGAAACTGTTGAGATGCTGACATGCTTGAAGGACCGGGAGTTAGGAGAAAAGAGGGAACAACATGCAGCTGCTGACAACAAAGAGCTTAAAGAAGCATTCAAGAATTTGTATCTTGATAAAGATGAAGGTGGTGGCTGAGTGAGACTGAGGTTGAGAGTGGACTTGCTTTTGTGTGAGTTGAGAGTGGACTTGTTCCTTACTTGTGTATCATTTGCATTTGAACAATGGTCTGTAATAACTTAATACAATTTATGAGTTGGCTACACTCTTTTTTTCTTTTTAGGGTTTCTCACAAGGGTGAGTTTTACCTAGAAATGTTTTTAATTAGGCAACATTGCACAAAACAGTTCATTTTGTTAGACTAAGTCTTCTATTATCTAAGTCATTCTGTGATGTGTGATCTGTTCTTCTGTTTATCTAAGTCATTCTATGTTGTGTTATCTATGTCATTCTGTGATAAAACTGTGAGTTGATACTTGATAAGTTATTCTATGAATGTTAATTGAAATTTGAAACTATGGTTGTGAGTTGAGTTTTCTGAGATGTTTCATGTTAACCGGGCTGTGGGCTGGCACGGTCCATCAATTTTGACGTGTCTTACGGACTGGCACGGTAGAAAAAAAGACCTATAGTGTCGTGCCTAGACCGAAGGCCAAACCCACGTGCCTAATAGACACGGCTCGTAGGACATGGCGTGCCTTGTCGGCCCGACTCCTATCAGGCCGTACCAGCCCGTTGCCATGCCAGGCCGGCTTGTTGCCCATCTATAGCTAGCATGACCGCCGGGTGGCGATAGCCCGGTAGGAGTAGGACTGTAGGAGGCCGGGTCTCCTCTCACCCGGCTTGGGGTGGGACCGTTACCGTACGACGCTAGAGGTAAAGGTAACCGCGTGACCACGTGGTGCCACACGAGAATTTTTTTTCTTTGCTAGCGTTGCGCACCGGGTGGAGCAGACCCGGGGAATGTCTCGCTATCACGCTAATGCGATCTTTGGCTTCCCGATCCGTCAGCTAATATTTCCTGGTGAATATTCTAAATCATAAAACAAATTTCTTATCTATCACAAAGTTCAAGTACAAGTTTACCAAAAAAAAAATTTAACGTCCAACAAAGTAGTAGCGAGGACAAGTTTGCAACGAAGAAATAGAAAATAAAAGAACGGTACAAAGCACAAGAATAGAGTTGGAATAAAGTGAAAAATAGAGGAATATAAAACATAAGAAAATGATATGAAGTGGTGTTTGGCACCTAGGAATATAAAAAATAAATAATTAGAAAAAAATATTTGGATCTAAGAAAACATCATCGTATCATTAAACAATATTAACTTATCATTAAAATAAATAAGTAGAACCAAAACCAATTAAACTTACATGTGACCATGCGAGGAGTAGAAAGGCTATTTTTTTTGAACTAAATGATATCAAGGCTATATTATTACTCTCTCCATCCGTTGTTCTTATCTTATCTTATCCATCCACGGTTCATCCGGTTTTTTCGCTATTATTCTTGCCAGGCCTCGTCCCCAACCTCGCCTCCAAACACGAAGCCAGCTATGAGCCCGTCGCTGCCTTCCACATCCGCTCAGGGTAGCGTTTCCTACCTCAGCTCTAGGATAGTCGTTCCACGCCAGCATCAACGCTAGGATTCCACGTCCAAGGCTCACGAGATCATCCGGTGGTACCGAATTCTATGGAGTGGGTTTCAAACGGCCACGATAAAAAGAAGTCTTCTTTCAGGAAGACCAGCCCTTTTTATAATGGCCCATATCAGCTGTTGATATATTTAACGCACACAGATAAATTCACAAGCGTACGGATACCGCTGTAGCTTTCACCCGAAAGTATTCCAAGTATCATATCCACAAGAAAACGTGTGAGACTAACTACAATCTAACTTAACTAGAGGTAGTAACAAAATTAAGATAAAAAGGAGCGTAGAGAGGAAAATTAAGGTTTTCTAGTTTTGACTTGGGTAAACTATGTCTTCTACTATTTAACTGAGGACATTACTTAAGGAAAGACACCAGCAGATGATGCTTCCCGTAGTAATCACATCATACTTGCCTTACAAACAGGAAGTGGACTATAGAGGATTCAATGAGGCTATAAGAGTCACCCTCGCGAGCTACCACTGATCCGAAATGCAGGATGCATCCACAACTAACTAGAATCTAAGCACCACGTTACACTATAATTACTACTTTACTCTTTCCAATTAAAGAATAAAGCACTCAAACAAGTTGTGAACCTGATGAATAATATAAACAAGAAGCTTACTTGAATTAGAAGTTGATTACTAGAGAAATCTCAGAGGCAAGCTCAGATAGAACTTGGATCCGCCAAGGTACAAGCCGTAGAGATAGCACTGACAAGACGACATCTTCTCCAAACTCTTCCCTCACTCTCCATCTCACTATTATTTACAAGACTAGATCCTATGTAGGACTAATCTTCTCTTGATAGCGGGCTCTGATCCTGAAGATATGAATTAGGGTTTCAATGATCTGCTGAGAGAGGGGGGTAGGGGCTGATATATATATGGGTCGGAGCGTCAATCCTGAGCCATCGTATCAAACAGACTTGAATAAACAGCGAAGATTGGATCTCAATGGCGGTAGCAAAACCACCTTAGAGTGTAAATTGACCGGTTTTGCAAACTTTAATATAGACACATCTCTAAACCTCAGGGGGTGATGTAGACTTTTCCATTAAAGAATAAATATTTTAGAACATCTTAAAGCGAGGAGCACAAAGGGCTCCCAATTTATAGAACTGAGTGCTACCATAACAGGCCGGCCGTCGTCGAGGGCGTTCGAGCTGATCAACCGAACAAGGCCCCCCCAAATGGATGGTTGAGTTTCTCGTGGTGAAACCTGGATGGTTGAGTTTCTCGTTGTGAAACCTACCCACCCAGATTTAAGTTCTCAATTTGGCACGCGTACTCGTATTTTGCTGGATTTATTTTATGATTTAATGGCGCTATGCATTTAGTGGTAGGCGACGTCTCCGTCGATAGTGAGGCGTCTGTGGTGACTTCGTGAGTCCTTCGAAGCTGCTCATAGAGGAGGTGCTCATAGGTAGGGTTTGTGTACATGTGTTCATAAATGTTAGTGTTCGTACATGCTGTGGTGTAATTCTTAAAAAATATATGCATGCCGAGCTTTGCAGGAAAGACAAATAAAGCGGCTTCCCAATGCAACAAAGAAGAAATTAAGAGCAGCGTCCACGCATATAATAATAATACTATATCAGATGCTGCAACTAAGAATGCAAGCAAGGGATCATGCCTGGCTTGTGAGTGTGTTTTTGGTTTTTGTTGCCTTTGTTGGATCGGCAACAGCTGGCTGCTACTTCATTCCAATTCCATCTGCCTTCCGCAGGGATATCGATGCACCAACTCACTCTCCATCCTCTCCTCTTCTCTCCTCTTCCGCAGAAACAACCTATCCATTTGTTTTCTTTTAAAACGAGTCAGTACAGCAACTAATATAAACCCTCTCGAATCGATCGATCTCCCTGCTTCGTCAAGCGTCCAAGCATTGGATCGTTCAATTCATTCCATCTCATCCAAGCATCTTCATCTCGATACGTTCCTCTTTCACAGAAACTGAAGGTACGGTACGTTGCCAATTTCGTTACTAATAAGCTACTCCTAGATAGATAGATAATTAAGAAACTGATTAGTGTTGTGCGTGCATGCTTTCTGCTTTGCACTACTTGCTTGCTTGCCGTCTCGAAATAAAATAAAATCGATGGAAGATCGTCGATGCTGCGTACTAGCAGTACTGATCGACTCTCTGACAGGTTATTAAACTATATTATATATAATGTTGTGTGCACGCCTGCATACAGGGAATCGATCGAATGCACTGCACGTTGGGGATCGGATAGGTCTTCTTTCCATGATCAAATATGCTACCTGATATGATTGATCCATCGATAACCGTCGTCTGCGCATCTACTCCCTGTTGATACATAATTTGTTCCTCTTTGCACACTAGCAGAAGAGCTTCATCATGGCACCAAAATTGAAGGTACCGCTACTCTCTTGTTTTAATTATGCATATACATACAATTTCCTAGCTAATTTGTTTTCTTTACCAAATTCCTTATATAAATGCCGAGCGGATCTTAACTAGCTAGCTATCCCCATGCATGTTCCAGGAAATCTACGCAACAGATGTTGTTGATGCAAGAGAGAAAATACTGAATTATATTCAGAGGGCCAGCCTCAAGAACAACATAATCTACTTTGATGGGTGGCGTGGCTTTGGAGTCACCGCCGTTCTTAGATCCATAGCACAAGCAATTCCATCTATGAAATCTCCTCCTCCAAAATTATGCTTCGGCAGAACCATTTACATTGATTGCTCATGGTGGGAGAGTAAAAGGGTGATGCAGAGAAAAATTGCAGAGGAGCTGAGGCTTGACCGGAAGACCATGGCCATGATTGAGGAGCAGGACCAGGAGGACGACTTCAACGGAGTGGATCATGGTTCTAGGGATGTGATACGAGAAGTTTCAGCAATGATTGACCAAACCCTGAGGGAAAATAGATTCATGATGATTTTCATTACTGGGAGTGCTGATGAGGTTGCCCTAAGAGAAATTGGTATTCCAGAATATTACGGCATGATAATATGGACATTTGGAAGAAGGCTCGTGACTATGCATGAGCACGATGGTATTGAGAAACTAGTAAAGAATTTAAGACACACAAGCCTTTTTATAAACCCGTCCAGCTATCAAACTCACAACGTAGTGCACTGTTTCTTGAAGAGGTTGCCAACAGAGTTGCTAGCTATCCATTTATGAGGGACATCAACTTAACAATGGTCATAGATTGTTATTGCTATGGGTTTTACCTCAGCACCATTGGATTGCATTGGGTAGGTCATGCTCCCAACTTATGGATATGTGATGGGATAATTCAACAAGGGGATACAGCTAGGAAGATTAGCACTTCATTGGATTCAGCAATAAATTTTGCAGGTGATGATTCTCTGCTTGGTGAGGTGTTTCCTATGATGACAAAAGATCCTCATCTGTTAGTCGAAGATGGCAACATTGACAAATATAAAAAGAGGCCTTACCGTTGGATTTGTGTCACCTCAAAGAATAAGATACTTGAAGACAACATGCAAACTATACTAGCAATGGCATCGTCAAATTTCCTATCATTTGACAAGACTCGCTACCGGCGACAGCTTCTTTGCCGAGTGCCTCTCAGGCACTCGGCAAAAGCCGATATACACTCGGCAAAGCCTTTGCCACTCGGCAAAGGGCGCTCGGTAAACAGTTTATCGGCAAAAACCTCTTTGCCGAGTGCTAATATGACACTCGGCAAAGAAAAGTCGCCATGACGGTGAGCGCCACCGTGACGACGGCTTTGCTAAGTGTCAAGGTCAAGCACTCGGCAAAGGTCGCCGCTTTGCCGAGCGCCGTTGACTCAGACACTCGGCAAAGGTGGCGTCTGTGTCGAGTGCCACCGGCAAGACACTCGGCAAAGGTGACGCCTTTGCCGAGTGCCTGGCCTATGGCACTCGGTAAATCTGTGATGTTTGCCGAGTGCAATGGCCTTTGCACTCGGCAAAGCATGTTCCCAGGTCGTCACTTTGCCGAGTGTCATGGCCATTGCACTCGGCAAAGTGACTGAAAACAACCTTTTTATTTGTTTTTTACATTCCATCCAAACAAACAGAAGATATATATAACAAACATCACCAACATCACATATATATCATCAACAACACATATATATCACCAACACCACATATATATCACAAACGTCACATATATATCACAAACGTCACATGTCTCACAATATATCACAAATAAGTTCACAAGTAATCCAAGTGCTCCATCATCTACAACCACAATTGCAAATAGAAGTACCATTAACAACCACAAGTATCATCATCAAGATGGCCAATGAGACTAATTTGGTGAAGGATTCGCTGAAGCATGAGGATCGTTCGATGCCGCCGATTGATTCTGCACAAAGAAGAAGAGATTGCATGTATGAGACAACATAAATATATAGGATACATGAATAAAACTTTCATACTCCACTAGGTTTGACCATAAGCATGAACATACAAACTAAAATATTTATACACATAGGAGTAGAATAGTGAGGAGGTGGAGTTGGAGGTGGAGCGAATAGCGAAGGTGGCGGAACTACACCCGTAGCGGCGCCAAGACTTTGCATGTGCTGAAGAATCTCCGCCATCCTCCGCTGCTTGGCCTCCCGCTCGGCCTCCACCCTCTCCATCTTCACCTGCATCTGCTCCCGTATCCTTCTCTCTTGTTCCAGCTGGGCCTACAATATATTCACTCCAATGTTACAATAATGCAAAGGAAAGGTATGAAAAAACCAATGAACGACGAATAAACCAGGAATAACCTCGAGTGCCTCCACCCGGTGGTGTGAAGTGTCCTGCCGAGGTCGTATGGCCGGGATCCTGCTCGTGCTGCTTGCTCGAATTTGGGAGAGACTGGGAGTAGCGGCCGAGTCAATTGCGCCATCGCCAATCCAGTACCGCCCATGCTTCTTGCCTCCTCCCACCCTCATGACAACTTCTCCATCAAGGTCCTCGGTGCTCGGATCATACTCTGGCCCATGGACCTCCCTTGCCATCGATGTGTACTCACTGAGGTGGTTGTGGACGGTCACATTGTTGTACGCCTCGGGCCCATCCTCCGGTTTGTAGTCGATGTCCGACGTCGCCTTGCCCTTGTGGGCCATAGCAAATACCTTGAAGATGGAGCAAGGCTGGCCACCATGTGACGCCGACTGCGAGGAAAACAGCAAGATGATTAGAAATTATGCAGAATTGAGCGTTAGAATAAATAAATGAATTCGCGTACCCATGTTTCTGTGTATCCGCTGATGTTGCGGCTGCCTTGATGGTGTGCTACACCTGGCATCATTAAACGCCACTCCCGGCACAAGTTGTGCGTCTCCTCCCACTCGCGTGAGCACCACTTGTCCACCATATGTTCCCAGCACTGGGGATGCGTGGCGCACCAATAAGGAATCATCTACAGGCCATCAAGTACATGACATATCAGAGGATGAAATTAAGCCTACTTAATCTCAAAAGGAATCCGTATTAATGTTATGTATTTACCTGCAGGTACTGGTCCAGGATCAGCGTCATGGTTCTTGCGTCTCTTTTGGTGACCTTCGTTCCAAGGACGATCCCATGGTAAGTTACGACGGCCTGGATGCGTGCCTCGTAATGCATGTCCACGACGAGTTTTTGCAGCATTTGGTAGCCACCGCATCCGCCCTGGCCTCATGTCCGTCCTGGCATCTAAAGAAATCCTGCATACAAACACGATGTATCCATTCATTATTTCAAGAATGTCCAATGAATGTGATGTATTGAGCAATGTAGTGCGAGGAAGACTTACCCACAGCTCTTGATTCACCCGCTCTGCCTTGTTGTTGAATACCCTATGGGCCTGATCTGCAGCATCGGGGGCGGCGGCGTAGTGGTCAAACGAGTAGGCCAGCCCCATCACTCCGGCATACTCAACCAGTCCAGGGAAGTGCTCCTTGCATAGAAGACCGAGGATGCCATTGACTTGGCGAGTGTGAGCACCTCCACTTGCCACAATCGTCCAGTTCCTGCCCAAGTGATTAAGAAAAATTATTAGTTTCTATTTTGATTTTCAACATATCATATAAAGTAGTGATAACATTTAAAGTTACTTACTTTTCCCCCTCGGGTCGAATCAGCGGGCATCTCTCACGAGGTATCGGTCGCTGAGGGAGGCTCGCGGGACCTCGCAAGTAGACGCTCGACGAACTAGAGGAAGCGGAACCCCCTGCCGTCGCCTCCTCCTCCTCGTCCTCCTACATGTCCTCCTACGCCTCCTCGTCATCCTCCTGCGTGTCCTCCTGCGCCTCCTCGGCGTCCTCCTAGGGCACCTACTCCTCCTCCTCCTCACGTGACGGGGCGGCAGGCGACGGCTCCCTCCTGCGGCTGCTCCTCCTCCTACTCCCCCCCGGTGCAGCGGTCCTTGTCCTTTGGTATAAGGACGTTAGCTTCCTCATCCCACCGCCCACCATCTTTGTTCAATCACCTGCAAATAAAAAGAGTAAACCAATAAGCACAGATAAACAAGAAGTACTTAGAAAGAGATGCAAAATAAATAAAATGTAATTACAAAATAACATAGTATTACATGTATTAGAAATAATCTTCATGATCAGGATTAGCTGGATCATAAGTCTCATCATCACTATCAATCATGTCGAAATAATCAACACTATCCGAATGAGCAATGTTGCCATTGTCATTGTCTAAATGTAATCGCTCAAGCATTTGTAAGTCCTTCACATTTTGCACCTCATCTCCACCGTCCTCTTCAATAACCGTTTCATTGTCTACTTCCATTCCGATCGCTTCGGTTAAGTCTATCTCAAACCTCCCTTCTAGTCTCTCTTCTTGAAAGAACTCTCCGTCATACGTGTTTGGGTCTAAGTTGTAATCTTCATCGTTTGGGACAGGCACTCTACCGTGTGGCGATACCCTATGCACAATATCCCAACCCTTAAGATGCCTTATGGTTTGACACGCATATGGGAGATAATAAACTTGCATGGCCTGTTGGGCCACAATATAGACATCGTCTCCTGTTAAGATGGAATCCTGTCGAATTTCGACTAGCCCAAGATTAGAATATGTCCGTCTCGTTACTTCAGGATCAAAGCAATGGCATTTGAATATGACAGGATTAAAAGGTTTGGAACCATGAAACTTGAGTTCGTATATTTCTTCAATTCTTCCATAATACTCGACCTCATCAACGCCGGGCGTAAAAACTCCAGAACTTGTGGTTCTTCGATTGGTCCGACTCTGCTCGTAGCTTGTTGTGCGAAAGCGATATCCATTCACGTCATAACCAGAAAATGACCTGACCCTATAGGCAAAGCCATCAGCAACCTGTCTCAACTCGGCACACATAGAAGCATCCCTCTTGCCCTGCAAGCTCAAGCAGGATACATCGTTATATTATTCGCACGTACGAGTAACTTGGAATGTCAAACTAAGTACGAGCTAAATTGGACGGTACCTTCCGTTTGAACCAAGAAATGAAATCGGGCATTCCATTTCCCGCACCCTGTCTAAGAAGGGTATCTAGCTGTTGTGGGGTAGGATCCCTTGATTGACGCCAGAATTCATGAAGAAATTCCCTGTACCAACGAGAAACAAGGGGGTTGGATGCAGAATAGTGACGGCGTATTTAACAAGTTCGTTGAGAACTTACTGCATGTACAGCTCCACTTCATCAAGGTTGGTCAACACATATAGCATGATATGGTGCCACTCTTCATGATTCAAGGTCTTGGGGGGTCGATGCACTTGCGCTTCTGAGTTTCCCTCGGAAAAGGCTGAGGTTTGATTCATTTTCGCCAGCATTGTAACGAGGGGGTGGATTATGCACGCTAGGGAGGTTGTCACCATAGTATGTTGTGAAGTTCGCCACCTCCTCCAGAATATATGCCTTTGCAATGGAAGCCTCGATTTTGTATTTATTTCTACATTTCTTTCGAAGAACCTTTAGACATCTCTCAATTGGATAGCACCAACGGCCCTATACGGGCCCCCCCATTCGTGCCTCATACGGGAGGTGCAAAATCAAATGCTGCATCGGATTGAAGAAGCTGGGTAAAAAGATCTTCTCCAACTTACAAAGCAACACAGGTGCCATTCTTTCTAAGTCAGCAATCACGGTCCAAGATAACTCCTTGGCACAAAGCCGGTGAAAGAAATAGCTCAACTCTGCCAGCACTAGCTAGA